ATGTGGCTCACTGTAGTGGAGTGAAGGGACTATCATTAGCTGTGATACCTTATTTAAGAGTGTCAGGCTTGAAAGGAGAGGTGCTGAATTCTAATACCAGCTCTGCCACTTAAAAGCCATGTTACTTTGAACAACTTCCCTGAATCTGTTTTCTTATTTATGAAGTGAAAGTGACAAAATTTAAAATAAACTTACTCTTCACAGTCCCTGTAAGGATCAGAGGTGTTTTTATAATCTTTAAAGAGCATTACAAATGTAACATATAATGATTTTTCTCCTGCAAACGACTGATTAGGGATGGCTATCTGTTTCCAACAAAACATTATGCCAGTTCTTCATAAATCTCACTTCTTTGGCTGACTAATATTCAAATTCACAGAACAGCTTTAATGAGATGAGTGACATTCAAAGAAAATCAATAAATCCTCAGCTAGGGTTTCTTTTAAATCACACAGTGATACAATAGTTGAACAAAAACTCAAAATATTTTGAGTGTCACTTTTCATCTGTATCCAAAACTTCACAAAGCACTTATTTCACTAAAGGAAACCATACTTTGATGCATAGAATTAGTTTTGCTGTGGCGTTTTTCTTGACATTTACTCAAAGAATGTATTATAGCTAAAAGGACTAAAACGGATAAGGGTGTTTAAAAAGACATTAGGGGAAAATAAATAATTTAGATCAAGTTCCAATATGGAGAAAGAAATATGATACTACAGCACTGCTTTGTTAGAAACTATGGACAAATAGCAAACAGAAGTTCTTGGAAAAAAGTACCAATGAAAGAATTAAAGAGAATGGTTAAATTACAGCTCATCCGTATATGAATTATTTACTCAGTAAAAAAGAGACTGTAGTTACTGACTAAAAGATTACCTAGATAAGCAGGTTATACAATATGATCCCAATTATACATTTAAAAGTTTATATACAACTGTATACGTAGAAAAAGGTCTGAAAAGATACATGCCAGACTATTAAGAGTGATTATATCTATAGGGCGGGGTTGGGGGTATTTGAGATACATATTACTGAATTTATACCAGTGAGCCTGCATTATATTGGTAATTAATAAGATAAATAAAAGCAAAAATCTTTGAAAGTAAAAATATGAATGAAGAAGCTAAACATTCACCAGAAATATCCTATATATTTAAAAAAAAAAAAAGCAGAAACAATGAATGGAAGAAAACTTATTCCCTTTAGTATATTAAGATACCAAATAAATGGCAAATAATTAGTCGACAAGTATTTGCTGAAGAGCTACTATGCAAAAGACACTCTCCTAGATGTTGTAGAAACTACAGAATTGATATAATCACTACTCTCACAGTGACCTATAATCTAAGGGCAGAGCCAAGTCTACATGAACACATACAAAAAGGGACATGAGAAGATATGGCAGAATATGAAAACAGCAAAGAGTGATTTTTAGATAATAAATGCCTCAGAAATTCAGGCTTGATGAATCTTTCATGAGGAAATTAATTAGTAAATCACTTTGAGCTGAGATAGTGAAGAATTCATAGAGGAGGACAAATGCGATCAGGACTTTGCAAGGTAGGAAGAATTCAGAAATGGGTAGAAAGTGGGGAAACAGATGATGGAGTGGGGGATCAAAGGGTCAGAAATGATGGCAGAGAGAGGAGAGGCTGACTCTCAAGGGCCCTGGAAAGCTGGAGGAGAGTGAGAGCTTGCATGAGCAGACAAGAGAGGTCTCTGAAGGGTTCTAGCTGGGCAGATAGTGGAGCTTCAGAAAGGTTAATCAGGCAGCAGGACAGAGAAGACAAAGACATGGAACCCAGGTCCCTGATGACAGGTGACAGAATGAGATAAGTGACCAAACTAGATGGAAACAGACACAAAGGAAATAGTAATACTTTTCAGGTAGCCCCATTCTCAAACTTCCAAATCAGACTCGAGCTAAAAACCCCTCAAGGAAAGACCTTTGAAGCTGTCTCAGTAGAAGAATGAGGAACATGGTGCTGGTACGCTACAGAGACAGTGACAATGACCAACTTCAGAGTGAGAATGTCCTAGATCCAACCACAGCTCTGCCACTTAACAGTTTCTTAAATCACCCCTGTGACTTTGTGCAGATTATATAAACTCCCTTGTTCTTGGTGTCTTCATTTTAAGTGGCTATAAAAGTGTTCTCCACTTGAATTTAAAATCTCAATTCGAAGAGAATGACAGGGGGGGATGTTAGAAAGGAAGGGTTCTCTTGAAACCTCACCCTTATCAGTTCCCTTTACCCTTCACAGGGTTTCACGGGGCTTAGAACTTAAGGCAGAGTATGGCTCCGTTTATAAATAAAAAATAAGATAATTCTAAAACTGCCCAACAATTTGTTTATACCTTTCCAACTTTTTGAAACATACTTAATTTTCTGCTTTTTATCCTGCCATTTCCTTTATATCAATAACACCATTGATCCATTTCTATTATTCTCTTCAATGCATCCACTTCCAAATACACTCCTTCCCAGAGAAACTAGTAAATTCTATTCCATATTAGATCAGTTGTTGTTCTATTCCTTCAATGTGTCGTAAAATGTGACAACCATCTCTTTCAACTGTTCATGGGTCTCCCTGTGATTATTCTTTTGTTGTTTTACCTAGCAACTATTTTGTGTCCTAATCCACAAGACTTTCATTATCCTCATGGGAAGGCCTAGGCACACATATTTTTAATGTTCCACAAGGTTTAATACAAGGCTTTTGAGTGCCAGAAAGATGAATGGATGAATAAATAAAATAATGAATGCATCAAAGACGGGATCCCTCTTCTACCTAAGCATGGTAAAGAGAAAACAGGACTGGGTTCTAATCCTGGTTCTACCAACTGCCCATCTTTATGACCTTGAGCAAGTCACATGTCTTTTCTGAGTCTCAGGTTCTTCATACATACACACAATGTTTCTCATCAGATTGGTTTAAGAATTAAATGAGATAACATATGGAAAGATGGTAACAGGTCAACAACAGTAGCTATTATTAGCATTATTATTATACACCCTTAAACCAGGTCAAGATCCCTCCTCCTAGGCACCCGTCCTGACTACTCCAGCTCTCACTTAATCTCCTTCTCTCAGCTCCTGTAGCCCTTACAGCTTCTTCTACATGGTTTAACATTTGATTATATCCTATCTTGTTCTTGTTATTATTTTTTTCATATCTTATGTGTCTGGAAAGATATTTAAGTCTGCCGGTTTAATAACTGATGTCACTGATTCTCTGCTATACAACGCATTAGCTGGGTGGTGTCGGGCAAGTTACTTAACCACTCTGTGCCTTTGTTTCCCCATTTGTTAAGTGGGGAAAACAGTACTTTTCTCATGGGGTTGATAAAAGAATTAAATGCATTAGTGCATGTAAATTGCTTAAAATAGTACTTGGCACATAAAAAGCATTCAATAATGTTAAGTAATGCTATCATTATATTATTACTATTATTAAGCTACAGAAAAACATCCATTCTTATTTCAGAAATAATGCCCCAAATCTGGGCAATTTACCTTTTTCCAGCTTTCCAATCTCACCTTCCACCCTTCAAGGCATTTTTGCCTTTCCAGAGCAAGTGAAAATAAGGTACTGGTTTAACTCCCAAAAAGACAACATCCTCAATACAAACATATAGATACAGATATTTACCCCATCTTTTCTATATGCAGCTTGTATTTTTTACTCTTTATTCTTTGCCATACAAAAATCAAAACACATGCATTAAAGCTTCTAAAGAACATAAATATTTTGCTTGATTTAAAGTGTCTGTTCCATGCAGTGTGATGATAGTTATCTCTGTATGGATTTTTATGTGTGTCAATGCCAGTGTGTTTTGACTATAAAGTCCTAGAGACAAAAATGATGTCCACTTAAGTCAATCAAACATAAATTCTGGGCACTTGGACCAAATTAGATTGAGATTTCAGAGAAGAATCTTAGAAAAATTCAGAGAATGAGGACGGATGGATGGGGATTGGCTTAGCAGAAGGTTTAGTAGGAGAGGAGACAGGCAGAGCTTTGAAGAACTAGTAAAATTTTGAATTCAAGAGGGAGGATGAGTGTTCAAGGTGGATTATATAAGCAAAGTGGAGGGATTAAGCAAAGATTAATCTGACTGAAGTAGAAAGATAATACAGGAGACCACTGTGAAATTCCACAAATATGAAGACCAGAGCACTTTGAGACTGCAGTTCATGCTTTATTCCTCTTGGCAGCCCCAATATCTAACACTAAGCTTGGCATAAATTAGGCAAAATTACACTGTTTTTTACCATACTAAAGTGAAGAAAACTGACAGAACTGAACTTCACTCAATCAAATCACGAAACCAAAGGACAGCAGAGTTCAACAAGGTATCTACACCTTGTACACTAACCACTAATCTAGAAATATGTATTTACTCTGGCTACATCACCATATCACCATCCACAGACAAGTGCAAGAAATAAAACACACCAAATTCTCTCAAGCTCATATATTCTCTCTCTTACACACACACACACACACACACACACACACACACACACACCCTACCTCAGTGTTCCCAATCCACTGTTTCATAGACTGAGACACCTGAAAACTATTAAGGCACTAAGAAGCACCGAAGTTAAGATTCTTAACATCTAATCCATTTTGAGGAAGGATTCTCAGAAGAGGGTCCTGACTCTAGGAGCCCAGACCATGTGATTGGCGGCCTGATCAGGCCCAGGGAATCATGAAAGAAATTTCTTTTCTTCTCTGAGGTACCCATCCCACCAGGAGGGCTTGGTAGAACAGGAGAGAGAATTTAAACTCATTTGGCAAGAGAAATAATGATATTTGGTATGGGCAACAGTAGAACAATTGTGTTGTATAGGAATACATAACTGTCTGTGGATTACCTTTGGCCCCAATGACCAAGTGATAAATTATACAAATGTGGTTGTGATTATAAGGTTATTTTTTGATTTTCTGATTCACTAAAATTAATTAAGCCACCTCTACTCATAACAGACCCCAGAGTTTCCTGATCTCTACCACTTCCAGCACTCTACAGATGGCCACAATGACTAAATGATGGAACAACTATATCTTTGCGAGATACCATATTCAAATACACCAGGTACAGTGAGTTGCAGCTAACATCAAGACTTGGGTACCAAATTTTAAACATTACAGAAGATGCATCCTTTTGTTCCCAAAAGGCAGAATAAGACATATATAAAACTTCAGGTGATTTCTGACACACTTTAATAAAATATTAAATTAAATCAAATCCTTCTAAAGTTGCTGGCAGACAAATCATGAAATGCCAAATGATGAAGGTGAAAGTTCTTCCTTGGCCTAAAAATCTCCAGAAACTTCTTTTGGCTGATGCTGCTAAAGTGACAAGAGGCCAGTAGTATGAAATTTGACATTAATACCTCAGCCTCATTCATCTTCTCAGCCTCAGTGTCAAACAGGAACTAGATGCCTGCCCAATGAGTAAATTCATGAGTGAATGAATATTATAAAATACTAGCCTGTTTTTATTCTGTATGAAGGGTAACATAAAACTTATCAAGCAAGTTCTAAAACCTTTTCTTTCTCTTATACACCCTATAATGTAAGAACCAAATTAATTATTAAATTGTAAATTACCTGTCTTTCAATCATGCTTCATAACTCAAACCTCACCAAGTACTTTAGCTAGAATATGTGAACGTGTGCAATAATTTTGAAAAGAAGAATGGGAGAGGGCAACAGGCATTGCCCATGTTGAAAACATGTCCTTCCCTTCTCCAATAGAATAAGAGAACTTACAACAGCCTCTAGTTTCCTATAGGAACAATACCATTTTACTATGGCTAAAATTCTAGATTCTCATAATGTAATCTGGATTTACCCAACCAACCTTTTCCCTCAAATATGTACTTTCTTCTTCTTCAATTACATATTTTGGAACTAACAAAAATATATTAGAACTTCTTAAAACTCAATTTAGACATAACTTTAGCACTATGAGCTTTTCTTAGAATCATTTCTAACAGAGCACCTGAGTGGCTCAGTCAGTTGGGCGTATGACTCTTGATTTCTGCTCAGGTCGTGATCTTACCACCAGGAGTCTGCTTGGGATTCTCTCTCCCCCTCATGCTGCCCCTCCCCCTGCCTGAGCTCTGTCTCTCTCTCTCTCTCTCTCTCTCTCTCTCTCTAAATAATCATTTCTAACATGCACTTTATTTTATTTTTTAAATTACAAACATTTCTGAATTAACAAAAAAAATGTGCAAATAGGCCTCTAAAAAATATAACATAGCTCTGGCAACATGAACTAAGATAATTCTTAACATGTGCCTTCTATGCAACCAGGATGGTCCCTTACTATCTAAACATATATTTAGGCTTTGCCCTCATGCTCTCTCCCTTCAGTTAAATGTCCTCTCTTCTTGTCACTACGTCTCCAAAGTCTACCTCTTTCACAAGGCCCAACCTAACTCCTACCTAAGTCTGGCCCATATCCATCTCTACCTTTTCTGTCACACCTGGCAAACTATGTTTCACTTAGCACTTCTTTCTATATTGTCTCTGAGTTACTCTTAAGTTTTATCAGTATAAATGTTATTGCACTAATTAAGCTATTAAGTTCATTGACAGCAGGGACAGTCTTTTGAAGGGTACAGGTCAGTTACTCTGTAGAATGTCTTTCAGTTTGGTTTGGCTAGTGTTTTCTCATAATTACAGGGGATTCTTCCAAAGAATATCAAAAAGGTAATGTGCCTTCTCATCACATCATATCAGGGAATACATGATTATCCACATGATTTATCTGCTTATGTTAAGCTTGATCACTTTGTTGAAATGCCAGTCTGTCAGTTTCTCCACTATGAAGTTAGTATTTTTCCCTTTACAGACTCTCTTCTTTAGAAACAAATCATTAAATGCAGCCTACAATTAAAAGGACAAAAGTCAATTCTACCTCCTAGAGGGAAAAGTATCAAAGAATTTGTGGACTTAAGCCAAAACCACCACAACAATTCATTAATATTATGGGAAAGATGCTTTGAGGCTATGCAAATATCCAGTTTTACGTTAAGGTCTCACTATTTATTTTTTAAGATTTATTTATTTATTTCAGAGAGAGAGAGAATGCAAGCAGGGGGAAAGGGAGAGGGAGAGAGAGAGAATCCTCAAGCCGACTCCCCCATGAGCACCGAAGCCCCATGTGGGGCTCGATCCCAGGACCCCAAGATCATGACCTGAGCTGAAACCAAGAGCTGGATGCCCAACCAACTGAGCCACCCAGCCACCCCTCACCTACTTATTTTAACACTGATTAGCAGATCTTGCATACAGCAATTATTACTGTGTTCTAATGGTGATTTGGGACACTATCATTTATTTATTTCATATTCTGCCATTCTTTGTCTAGCATGAAACTAAATAGAGTAGGTAATCAATAAATACTTGTAAATGTAACTGAATTTCAAGAAACCTTTATAAAACCTTTATTTTAAATAAAATGAGATAACAAAAGGTGGTAAGTTCAAGGCAAATATGTTTTTTGGCAGCTGTGCTGTTCTTATGTCTTATGTCTTGATTGATGGCATGGAAATAGGAAAAAAAATTAACTACCTCACCTCTACTAAAACTGGGAAAACTTCCTGGAGAAAGGTAAACAATAATAATAGCTGTAGGGTGCCTCAGAGTTTATAAAGTGCACTCACATTCATCTTTTAGAATTTCAGAACCTCTCTGAAGAGAAAATTTTCAAGACAAGGGAGATAAAGAAACTTTTGAAGTCTGTGAAAAAGCACTATTAAATCGGGAATTAGAAAATTAGGCATAGAGGGGTGCCTGGGTGGCTCAGTCATTTAGCGTCTGCCTTGGGCTCAGGTCTGTCCTGGGATCGAGCCCCACATCGAGCTCCTTGCTCAGCAGGGAAGCCTGCTTCTCCCTCTCCCACTCCCCCTGCTTAAGTTCCCCCTCTCGCTGTCTCTCTCTGTCAAAAAATAAATAAAAATCTTAAAAAAAAAGAAAATTAGGCATAGAAACTAAGTAAGGCTAACAAGGAAAAGCAAAAATAAAGGCAAAGAAGAAACAGATATAATGTAAAATTAGTAATGGGTCCAGTGCAAGGCTTTAAACCAGGTGATAAAGTTGATTTAAATGCATAGCATGAAACCAAGATGCCTTAGATTACATAAGATAAAGAATACATGGTTAAAATAATGAAAAATGTCATTAAAGCAAGCATTAAGAATGAACTTATAGGACTAATCATTGAAGGTGAAAAATGAATAGAATCTTCGCATACAAATTCACTCATTTCTTCATTAGTCACCTCCATTTTCCCAGGGCTTTAACAGTGTTCTTAAGCCAATATATATCCAAAAATATTTGCTGAAGTTCTATATAACGCTAGACCTTTTTAGGTTATTAGATATGGTCTAATTAGATATGGTCCCTTCCTATGAAAAATTTGCTTTCTATAAAGGTAAAACATTTAATGGAAAGGAAAACTTTTCATATACATGTTAAAAGTTAAAGAGCAAAATAAGGCAGACGGAGCCAAAAAAAAAAAAAAAAAAAAGAGTAAAAGCTATAACAGTCCAGAGAAAGAAGAGATCACTATGCAATGATATGCTCAGGAAAAGCCTTGAGAAAATAAGGGGCTTTTGCAATGGGCCTTCAGGAATTGGGTGGCGGGTGAGATATGAACAGAGCCAAGAGAAAGGCATTCAGAGCAGAGATATGTGGCTGAACAAAGGAATGGGGTTGAGATAATGAAGGTGCTTTATGGAGAGTGAAAATTAAGTAGGATTGTAATAAAAAGTATATGAAAACACAGGATACAAAATTGTAAGCTGAGACTGAATGTGAAAGGCTTTGAATGCAAAGTTGAGGAGCTTGAACATTTTCTGTAAGTAATCAAATAATCAAAATTTCTGGGCAAAAGAGTGATATAATGAATATGATATTTTAGAAATATCAAGCTGGCTTTTGACGTGCATAATAAATGGTGTACAAAAGGTAAGGCAAACAGTAAGATTCCAAGGTATGAAGAACAATCCTATTTTTATTTCTTCCATCATCACCACGTTTGTATGAAATTCAAGCTGCCTAAGCATAGAGTAGAATAGATAACTCTATTAAAAAAGTTACCAGAGACTCTCCCAAAGTGATACATAAGCAGTGGCTTTAGAAAGTTAAGAGAAAATGCAGTTGCAACTAAAGCTTAAGAAGTATGTGAAAAATAGAAGTCACATGCCTTGTTAATTGCACTATTCATTCAGGGGGAAACAACAAATCACATCAAAGTAGCATATGAATTAACCATAAAAGTATATTTTACCTAAGCTGGAACTATTGGTTCATGTCACTGTTAGCATGTAAGAAAACTAAAGATTAGTCTCTTCTCTCATTACCACAAAAAAAGTAAGCCAACCTATGTTCTCCACCTCCATTCCTTAAAGACAATTCTCCCTACATTCCCTTAATCCTCTCAAACAATTCCCTAATTCTATCTCCTTTCTTCTGTATAAACTTCTGTCTCATTGAATCTTATTCACTTCTTAATCCCACTTCAAAATATTAAATGTTATAAATTTTCTGAAATTGCTCTTAATAAATGTAAGATCCTTAGCCTTTACATAGTGCTTTGTAACTGACAAAATATTTTACACACATTACTTCTTAAAAGCCTCACAGAAGCAATGCACAGCAGGTATTATCATCATGCATATGCTACAGAGAAGCAGCAAGTCCAGGGCCACACAATCATAAGTGATAGAGTGAGGCCTGCAATACAGGCTTTCTAAGTCCAAATTCCATAGTCTCTTCTTTAGCATTCAGTTTCATAATGTGCCAATAGGTGCATCTTATTACTCAAAATGTATGTTATTGCTCTGTATTATGTTTAAGTCAATACATCTTGTTTTTAATAAAGGTGCTTATGCCCAAGTGCCTATTACAGGGCCATTTACTAAGAAGACCTAATTATGTTCAAGATGTTCGTGATGATGATGATAATTATCACTGGATGAAAAGCGACAACTGAAGTATTATGTTTCCAAATTGCTAAGACTATCCCAAAAATACTTTTGCCTGTAATGCAACATGCAACAACAAAGACAATATGGGTGATTTAAGGATATGTGAGCATCAAAGGGCAGAAATAGGGCATTCCTACTCTCTTTAACTCTGCTAAGGCCTCAAATACTGATATAGTTCAGAGCATCTTATTACCAGGGAGACATAAATCAAAAAGAGTTCAGCTAAGAGCAATAAAACAGATTAGTGTCTGGAAGCACAGACTTTAAAGAAAGTTTTAAAAGAATTAAATCCAGGTAGTCTAGATAAAAAACAGCTATGAGGAAATCTTTTTTTTTTTGAAGCTGTCACTCACACCAAAGACAGAAATTATTTTGAAGATAGATGTCTAAAAAATGCAAAAAATAAATAATCGTAAATATTTGGAGAATATTTATAAAAGGAAAATTCAAGATAGATATGCTGGCAAAAACCTATGGGACAGAACTCTCTCCCACAAGTGTGGTAAAAACTACATTCCTAGAGATATTTAATACCAGGCTGGACAAAACAAGAAAAGGATTCCATATGGAATGATCCTGTACTGGCCCCCCAAGTGGTGGGAGGGTTGAAGATGACCTCTTAGATCTTTTCCATTTCTGATTTTTTTTTAATTCTATGAAGTTTTATGGGGCACAGCCTTCTGTCAATTTCCTTTCTCCCGGTGATGCCCACTTTCTCCTTTCACAAAGGGAAACAAATTGTATGTATCCTTCATTTTTAAGCGGATCTCATGTTCTCAATGAATTGGTAATACAATGCTAGGTACAAGTTTGGGAAAAAAAGGCCAATTCTTATAATTTATAATGGTCCTTCTCCCTCTCCCCCCAGTGGTTCTTGAGGTTCTTATACATTTTTTCAAAGTAGTAGTTGACATGGATTCGAAGAGCTGTTTCATCAGGAAAACCATTAATATTCTCCATTCTCATGTCTGATCACAGAGCTGACAGTGACCCTGGGAGCTATAAGGCCCTGGGTCAAATTACCATCAGAGCTGCTGTTCAGGATTATCTTTTACCTTTCAGCATTTTATGCTGAGTGACAGCAAAATCTATTGCAATCCACATTTTTATGGCAATGACATTTACCTTTGAAAAGATGTAGCCTTACACTCCTATACACTTTGGCAAATGTTGTAAAAGTAAATCCCATTCACGCTTTAAATTCAAGAAGCCTCAGCCTTGTTCTCTTTCTCCACTCTGGCACTTAAAAAAAAATTTTTCCCCAGCCACCCTTGAGATAGATCCCAGTATCTCTCCAGAATCCCCATTCAGTGAAACCCCAGAATATACATACAACGGCATTTCCTCGTTTTGCTGATTTACAAAGAAAAGATGTAACAAAATCCAGGGAGCTCTAAGAACCTGTCCTTGAGCTCTTTAAAAATAAAACTGAGGCTCACTTATGAAAAGGGACAGCTGGGCAGAGATAACCTTCCAAGAATGGACACCGATGCCACTTTTATACAATCTAAACAGTCTCAGTAGCTGAGGACCCACCAATTCCCATCTTGACTATTTGAAAGAAATATGCCCCTACCCACAAAGAAAATTCATATATATTAACACTACAACCTCTAAAGAAAATTTTAAATGCCATTTTCATTTTTTCCTAGTAAAAATGAGACTATTCGAACCTAAAAAGATTGGCCTCTCGCACTTGAATATGATTTGAAGTTTTCAAAACCCTTCCAACACTTAACTCATTTGATCCTGGCAAGAAAGAAGGCTGGCATTTATAATCCCATTTTAAAACAAACAAAAAAATGCGACTCTAAGATTAGAACCCACTGCGCAGATATTCAAACCTTCCCCAACAAAAAGGCCCAATCTAAAAGGAATTATCCAGAAAACTTTAGAGTGGGTTTCAAAAGAGGCTGTATCACCCATATCCTCAACTCAGGAAAGCAAAAAATAAGAAAAACAAAAAGGAACTTTTTTCTAGAATTTTAGGAATGAAACGTGACCCCGATCCATTAGTGGCCTATGAACCTGTCTGAATTTTCTCAAGAAACCCACTACATCTTCTCCCCCCACAGGACTGGCCTGCCAATTGTTCTGGCTACCAGTTCTCGGCCTCGGAGTTCAGACGCCCAGCCAAAGGCCGGCAGCCGGGGCCAAGACAAGCCGGTGACCCCCCTCTGCGTAATCACGTCAGGAGTCCCATACTCCGGTGTCCCCTAGCCCGATGCCACCAGCTTTTCAGAGGAGCTTCTACCAGGCTCTCCTCCAAGCCGGCTACCACCCCCACCCCACCCCACACACACAGCGAGTGCTCGCTCCTATTCCTCAAACTTCCCTCACCCCGCTAGACTGGAAGCAAGTTTCTCACCATCCTCATAGTTTTTGAGATAGTAATCCGGACCGGGGCCCCCGCGGCTTTTCGCCGGGTTCCTCAGGTTCTGGAACTGCAGGAAGTCGGTCCGTCTGCCCCCGAAGCGCAGAAAGGCGGGCGAAAGTCCCCGAGCAAGGGTCACCAGACGCCTGGAGCTGCAAGGGTAGAGAAAGAGAGAGGAAAGGATCGGGGGAAGGCGAGAGGGCGTGGGACACCGACCAAGGCCCTCTTCCCACTCTCCGCGAGTGACCTGGCGGAGGCTATGGACTGTGTCCGCTCCAGTCCGCCATCCGCGCGGGCCCCGGCATCTCGCGTGCGCCTGGTTCCCGGGGCTACGCCTCCTGCGCCCAGCCGGCCGCGGCCCCCTCCCTCAGACAACCCGACTCTGCTCGCCAAAGGTACTTCTTTCCAAACGGTTAGTCTGTTTGTTAACACAGTGCGTGTGGGGAGCGGCGGGGAGGGGGGGTACTTCTGCTGAGAATACGGGGCTAAGGCGCAATTGCCCAGCTTCTGCCACTGCCGGGAAAGCGCTCCTGGCGGAGACGCGCAGCGCGCGGACTGCCGGGCTCCGACTTTTGCCAAACTTCTAGGCTGAAAGCCGAGATCTGCTTCCTCCGCCCCAGGGGCACCGCAACCTCTGTGGATAAGGTGAAACCTGCCTTTCTCTCAGACCAGGTACCTGAAGTCGAGTTTTTCTTCTATTTCTTCTTCTTCTTCTTCTTTTTTCTCTTAATGCTGAAGTTGATTTTCCTTCAACACTATCTTGTAACAACCGCATCCATCTCCCAAACCCTGGACAAGAGATTCCCCGGGGTAAATCCTTGCTTTTCTGAGAACTCTCCCCATCCTTGCCTTGCACGGTAAAAGCAATGTCTCTTTGCTCCCTTAAATAATTCAGCCTGATCTCAGGATAGGTAACATCCTCCTCTCTACTCTCTGAGTTCAGCTTCATCTTTTTCCTTCTTACGTGGGGCCCTTTGGAAGCAAGCTCTGGGAAAAGTGAAGTTTGCCGAAATGTGGAACCTGCTCCTCGGAGGAGACTCGAGGAACACCAGAACGGCATTTACGTTTATTTAGGTTCAGGATTTCCATAAATAGTTTTTAAAGCCAAAAGCTACTTCAGGGAGGGTTAAAGAAGGAGCAGTGCAGATGCTCTTAGTACTGAGACGATCAACTGTTGAATTCTGGATCTGTAAGTTATTTTTAACGCTTTGCTGGTTCAGGTTCTGAAAAGCCAAATCCAAATGTAGAAAACACACAGAATCATAAAGGAGGTGGATATGAAATCAAAAAGCCGGGGACTCCAGTTTCGGGGAGTTGTTGACAAAAGTGGTAGCCGCCCTGAAAAGTCCGGTGGCCGAGAATGTCTTTGGCAGAGGACTCCAGGACTGCGTTCTAGGGCGGGCACAGTCAGGGCATCGCGTGGCCCCGCAGCGGGCAAAGGAGACATCTGCGCCAGTACCGCCCGGCAGAAAAGGCATTTCCAACAGCCGCCCATCCAGAAGCCGGTACAGCCAATGCAAATGCGCCCCGCCACGGCTTCTTCCCCGAAAAGCCGCCTTCCAGAATCTTTTCTGCAACATGCATGTTTAACAAGACGGTTTAAAAGGGAAGGAAGGAAAAATAAGCCCGAAGGAGTCCACGCAGCTGGAGTAGTGCTATGCAAGTGGGGCATGTATTTTGGAAAACCCCCGTCGCCCCTAACCATCGGACGAGTTCAGAGACGCGCTCTGCTCATGATAGAACTTCCGAGGAGGAAGCCGGGCCGCGCGTAGTTCTTCCCGCCTTCCCAGTGGAGGCACCGCCAGGAACCGAAACGGCCTCAGCGGCGGCAGCAGCAACACCAGCCGCTCAGTCCTCCCGCAAAGCTGGCTCCACGTGGAAGGAGCGCTCCATGTGGCGCCTCCGGCTACCTGCCGCGTCCGCCGACCCCTCTGAGGCCCGGGCAGAACCACAGCGCGGAGGGGCGGGAGCATGCCGGCAGCAAAATGGATTTCACAAGCAGTGAAAGATACTCACGAAAGACTAAAGACGCGCGGCGCACGCGGCCTCCGGGCAGAAAAGTGGGGCTGAGAGAGCGCTCAGGGCTCTTCGGGAGAGCCCACAGCTGAGTCTCCAATTTGGAGGGAATTTTTAATAACTCAACACTGGATTCGACATTGCAGACGATTTATTTTTTTTACACTACAACGCTGTTCCTGATGGGAAGGGATCTTAGTTGCCTAACTGCTAAACAGTAACGACTCAGAGAAAGAGTAAGCCCAATTAGATCCCAAGCCGTTGAGTAAGGGGCGAGTCCATGATCACAAACCACCCGGTTTGGTAATCCGCTGGTGCCGAGTTCAGACCTCCGTAACATCCCCGGAGTATTTCTAGGACCCTTTCCGCTCTCCTTATATACCCTATGACTGGAGCGAGAATTTTTTTTTTCTTTAAAGAAAAACTAAACTATGAAGTTACCGCAGGAGACTTAAGGAGGAGGGACTGGGGGGCCATTCGGTCTATTAAAAAACGTCTTACAAAGTCCTGAAGTCTGTAAAGGACAACGGAGGATGTAAAAGAAAACTTCAAAAATCCGATCCAACTTGCCCACCGCTCAAGTCTGCTTAAATTCGTTTTCTTTGAGTGGGAGAGAACTGACAAGTCGCTCTTTCCGTGGAAAATTCCACTTTCGTGCGATCCCCGCTTGAACACACACACACACACACACAGGCACACACACTCTCTCTCACACACACCCATTCCTCTCGGGTCTTTGTTGCTCGAGACCTTTTCTTCGCTTTTGTAACTGCCCTGAACCTCTTGTTTCTTTTTCAGAAGGAGACGGGGAGGCTAATTGTGGATATATGTAAGCACAACATTTTTTCAGTCATAAGTGATAAGTTTCTGAAATGCCTTCTGCATTGCAAACATGTGCATCTTAATAGAAAACATTGCTTTTCTCAATCAGCAGTTAAAGCCTCACAGCAAATATTCCAGGAGGAGGAAAACCTCTTTTCTTCTCTTTGTGAGATCCGCTTGGCTTATTTTCTTCTTCTTCTTCCCCCTTTGGAATGGGGGCTAGGAAGGGGTGGGGGTTGTTACTTTAAAAAAAAAATGATCCATGGAAGCCCCTGCCTTACCTTAAGAAATCGAGCCAGCCATCATGAATGATGGACGGATCCAGCTGCAGAGAGAGGAAGTTCTCATTGACTGTCCTGACTGGGTTCTTGGTGCTCACATCAAGTAGAATCAGAGTCTTTTCCTTCAAACCTGGAGCTCTGTCTACAGGCAAGGGTCTCCTGTCTCCAACTTGGGAGGAAAGGGAGAGATGGAGCAACAGAGCCAAGAAGAAAGCCACCGGGGCTAGGCACGCAGGGGGGCGGGAGTTGCTGGAGGGCATGGCTTCAGGGAAGGCACAGAGCACCCTCATTAAATCCCTCTGATTTAAACCTCTCTTCCTACAGGGTCTCACTGGTGACTAATTGTCCTTATCTAAAGTGTGTGTCTGTCTGCCTCCCCCCCCTTTTTTTTTCCTTTCCTTTTTTTCCCCCCTCTCGCTCTCTTACTCTCTCTCTCTTTTTTTTTCAGTGTTTTGGTGCTGGTGGAGCGAACTCACGCCCCTAGCCAGCCTTCTCAGCGACTCGTGCCAAGAGTACTCGTTCACCAGCACCGCCCCTTTAAGAGATTTCGACTGCAGACATTTTTTAACTTTTTAAAGGTGAGGGGGTAGGGGGGAGAGGCGGGAAGTAGGAGGAAGGGGTGGCGTTGTACCCTCCTGATTTAACCCTCTAAGGTCAGGAAGCAGAGAGAGGGATGGAAATTGTATGGTTGTAACGTTTTGGGTACGGGGCGGGACGTCTTGTTTTTACTTCCCTCCCAGCAAGGCTCTGGGGAGGGCGGTTCTAGCTTCAGTCCCGACACGAAAGCCCCAGCGCCAGCCCTGGGCGTGCAGGAGTAAAGAGTGCGCACCCGCGGTGCGCCTGTTTCTCCTGACAGCGGCAGGCATTTCTTCCGCTCTGGGCCCTTCCCTTTGCGTTGAAGGAGCAAGAGCAAGAGTGGTTAAGTTGCAGAGGGGGTCCTGCGGCGGCGACTGTGATTCCTGCCAAAGCACAGAGTGCAGATAGAGACTTCATGGACACAAGTATGGACCTCTGCTACGCGCTGGGCTGCCTCACAGAAGCATCCTCTGACCTCAATGGGGAAAACAGTAGCCAGAAGGAATAGAGAGTTACCTGGTCAAAGGGCTTATCCGCCGGTAGGGGCAAAAGGGCCCAGGCTGCGCGTGGCTGCGTTCTGCCTGCAGCCAAGGAAAAAGTGTCTTGGGGACTTCAATATACGCTGACTTAGGCCAAGTCAAAGCAATCTGGCCCATGCTTGGACAGTCTGGGCGGCGCTGCGCCCATCTGAGCCATGGCTTGGCCACTCCGCTGCACAGCCAGACTTGCCCTTCCAGCCCCTCCTTGAGATGGACCATGGGGTTATCCCTCCTGCAGGGAAGTATGCCTTTATGGTGCCAGAAAGGACCAGAGTAAGACAGTTGGGTTTTCAGACTTGGCCAGGAGTCACAGCCAGTGTCCGCCTGCACATAGTCCCTGGATGCCCAAGAACAGCCAGGAGCGCGTGGAGTTCCACCCACCCTAACTCACCAACCCAGACCCACACCACCTCTCAGGCAGAGCCATGGGTCCCAAACCCAAGTGTGGAAAAGAAGTCAGGCCCAGTTTGCTGTACTCACAGCAGAGTTGTGGCACTACTGTCAGCTTCTTTCTGGAACAAAATGGGCCTTCTACTTGGCAGATGAAGGTAACTATTTTATGTGTTGTGGGTATACATGAGTGTCCCAGGGCCTCCAGACATCAAACAGGCAAAATGCAGAGCAAAGGTTTTCCCCAAGTGTGGATGTGCAAATGGCAGTCTCAGAGCCCACAAACACTGAAATGGCAACCTGTCTCTCCTCTCTCCCCCTCAAGATAGGATGAAAGAATCTGAAAAGGGCTAGAGTGCATGACCTTCAACTGAAGTTCCCTGAGGAGCTTCTACCAAACTAAGCAACCAAGAAATACAGAGGTTAGATTAACCCGACCATTAAGACCTTCTAGAATCTGCATAAAATGAGGCCAAAAGAGAAGGAAAATCCAAAGCATATTATTTAGAGATGATTTTAAAAACCAAGATGTTATATACTGAAGTATTAGATGTGAGCTTTGGCCCTTAAGGCCTGCCTGCTTCTTTCGGTTCCTGAAAATTTCTGACACACACCTAAATCCTTTAAAATATGTGTGTGTTTCTGTGTGTGGATGTGTGGTACGGTATAAGTTCCCAAAGAAATTACTGTAATTTTAAAATGTGCACTGAGCACCTCCTTGAGATGGTAACAGCCTGGTGAGCAAAGACTTTTATTTATCTTTGTATCTCCAGACCCAGGCACTTAGCAGGCACTCCATAAATGTCTATGAAATAAATTAATGGTAAATCAAATCATGCCTAATACAATAAAATCATATAGTGCTTTCAAGAAGAATGTGAAAAAAATAAGACTTATTTGTCACAGTGAACTTTGTTTTAGGTTTCAGTTCAGTAATTTGTTTTCCCAGCTATTAGCATTTTCCTGGTCACCTCCTTCAGGAAATACTCATCTTACAAATTCAGAAGCCATTTGTTCATTTGCTGTATTCAGAATTAAAACTGATTATATATGTTTAACAAGGAGTTAGATTTTCCAAAGGCCTAAACATCCCCCTGGCTTACAAGTGAATGTACTTTTAGAAGCCACATTAATTGGGACCAGAGGACAACCACATAAATGAAATAAATCACTCACCGACTAGATGTCTGTAATTAATGTATCTTTCAAAAATACCTACTCTGGGACTAAGGATGACCTTGGGTATGAGAATCTGCCTAGTTATTAATTTTATCCACGATGTTTGCTTACTGACCCAAGTATTCTATAATTGTTTGGTGTCCTAGTTACTCTAACCAGTATTTAATGTTCTCCTCAGAACCTGTATATAGTATAAAAATCAAAACCAACAAAACAGTGGTTTTTTTTTTTAATTTCTGATGAAAACCATCTTCTTTAGTCTAGCCACTGAAATTCTATAGTCATGTACAGCCTCAGGACATCGAGGCAAAGAAAGCAATTTAGTAACATTTAAGGAGTTCCAGATAGCCCTGGTTGACTCCAAGATGACCTGATTGTTTGGTCCTTGGGTCTAGTTTGGCTTTTGTCTTTCTTCCTATCTAATCCTATATTATATGCTGTGAGTCCCTCATTATTAATCTGTATATTAGATTAGTTTCTACTCTGGTTTCTATGTGCTGAGTGGCAATGACCTGTACCTCTGTTTTGTCTTAAATTGTAATTTCCTAGGAGATAAGAAGTGGGGCCTTTGTATAAAATGTGAATTATTGGGAACTAGATGCATCTCCTTGGAAATGCTCTTCCTGATGTTACTGAATGATCCTCATAGATAAATTCCTTTGATATCTAGGAGTCTAGTTTCCCACACCTGTAAGAAATCTTGAAGATTAACTCATTCAGTGTTTTTCTAGACTATGGGATTTCAAAATAAATATTAGTGGGGAAGAGCTGACATATATTTGCCAACTTATTTTGCCTGGTAAGGACCTTAAAAATTTATCAATTATTTATCACTATTATTTACTAAAAGAAAAAAAAAGCTGAAATGGTATGTCAAAAATAAAGAGCAAGTGTTTAATTTTTTTGTTTTGTTTTAATTTGCAACTTTATTTTAAGAGCAAGTGTCTAAACTGAATAAATTTAGCTTCATGAAAAATCACTATAGTATTTTTATCATTTCATCTCAGACCAGTAGAGATATGCCAGTTACCAATATGGGCACCAGTACTAATGACTGGGACTAATGCTACATCCTGTGTTTATGGCCAAATTCTACTTTGTAGTATACAGTATTGCTGCAAGATGTGCATGCTTTTTAATGATGGTCTTCTTTTTTTTAATAAAGATTTTATTTATTTATTTGACAGAGAGAGAGAGGGCGCAAGTAGGCAAAGTGGGAGGCAGAGGGAGAGGGAGAAGCAGGCTCTCTGCTGAGCAGGGAGTCCGATGTGGGGCTCAATCCCAGGACCCTGAGATCATGACCGGAGCCGAAGGCAGACGCTTAACCGACTGAGCCACCCAGGTGCCCCAATGATGGTCTTCTTGACTACAGCAATTTCTGTCCATTTTTCCTATGCTTTTTTCACACTTTTAGCCTGTCACAAACTCATTGACTCTATATGCCACCTCTCTTTCTATTAAACATTCAGAGCTATAGTTATTTCTATACCTGTTTTCCCCTTCTGAAAGAATTATACCTAGATATGAAATAGCAAGAAAAAAATTCTTGCCACAATAACTGGAACTGGGAAACATGAAGCTAGAGCAGCCAACCTGCTGTCTCATCACTGCCTGTGGACTTGTCCACATTGACTACAGATCTTGTGGTCCCATAATGGTACTCAGAAATATACATATGTCATCTTATTAATTTTATCAAATAAGTCTGAAAGGTAGATATAATTCATTAGTATACCTAGTTTACATATGAGAAAATTGACTCAGATGTTAAGCAACTTTTTCATGATACACTGCTAATAAGTGGCAGCAAGGATTGAAACCTAGGGCTACCTGACTCCAAAGCCTATGTCTGTGTTCTTAACCAACACACTCTACTGTAAGTGGCTAAAATATTGCATACCTTTTAACAGTTTGTCATTGTACAGTTGAAAAAACCTTGGACTAGGAGTTGGAAAACCTGAGTTTAAGTCCTGACTTTGCCAGATCCTAGCTTTATGACCTTGGGTAAACTTTGTAACTGTTGTCTCAGCTGCCTACTTTGTAAAACTGACCTCATATCCTAGAGTAAGAAGCAAATAAGGTTATGTCTGGAAAAAGTGCTTTATGAATTCCAAAATAGTATACAATTGTGCTACTGGTTTCTTGTTATCTCTTATTCCCTCTCTCCCATACTTGCCACAAATACATCCCCTTAATTGATGACTGGGGCAAGAATTTAAGTTATATAAAAAGAATTTAGTGATACAGTTGAAACAAAAGGTCAACTCTAATATAAGGTCAATAAATGCAGTAATAAAGCAAGTATGCACTACATAGTTAAACCATGCAGGCTCTTCTGCCTGTGACTAGCATCTGAAAAAGAAAGAAAAGTTAAGTTTTACAAGCCTCCTTCAGTTTTCCACTAAGACAGGAGAGGGCAGAAGAATGGGCAAAGGACAGTGCTGGGGAATAACAAAGACTGTGTCTCTCTCATGCTCAGATGAACAAGGGAGGGCAACACCTTCTCCATATGGAAAGTTGAAGGGGAAAGGAATTTTAACTATGATTGTTCTATCTCATTATATAAGAAAACTCAAGCTGGATGGGTTTTTTTCCCATTGTTCCCA